ACTCGGATCATCAGTTGGAGCTGCTCAACCAGGCCGCACAGATGATGACGGAAACACGATTCTCGCTGCTCGTTGTCGATTCCGCTACCGCGCTATACCGTACAGATTTCGCTGGACGTGGAGAGCTTTCTGCCAGGCAAACGCATTTGGCCAAGTTTATGCGCACGCTACAACGGCTCGCGGACGAGTTTGGCATCGCCGTTGTAATTACGAACCAAGTCGTCGCGCAAGTGGACGGTGGACCAAGTGCCATGTTCAACCCAGATCCCAAGAAGCCTATTGGAGGTAACATTATTGCGCACGCAAGTACGACTCGTCTCAGTCTGAGAAAGGGCAGGGGAGAGACGCGTGTGTGCAAGATCTACGACAGTCCGTGTCTGCCAGAGAGCGATTGCTTGTTTGCAATCAATGAAGACGGTATTGGTGACCCCAAAGAGAAGGACCTGGAGGAGAGGAACAACAGGTGATGAGGGAGATGAGGGAGATGAGGCGCGAGGCGCCATGGAGCCGTGGCGATCTAGAGCTTTTGGTTTTACACGATTTACGTTTATGCAGCCGTATGATATCCTAATACATTACCTGAATGAATGCGCATTATGTCTATCAGTACTATTCGGCCTATCTCGGGATTGAATGGCCATGCCATGTGGGGAGTGAGATAAGTGGGTTGCGTTCAGGGTAGCCTGCGGTGATGGACAAAGCGTCCGTGCACCAGCCAGCTTCGCGCATCCATCGTCGCGCAACGATTGTTTTCGTGAGCTTCACCTCCGCGCGACCGCCGCAACTCGACCCCAAACGCGCGCCATAACCTCTCAGCCCCCGCAACGACAGCCGAACCCCCTTCGCATGCGAGCACCATGGTCCAACATGGAGGCACGTGTCTCTACAAAGAGGCGCGCTTGAACATTGAGCCCGCCTACCCTGGCTCGACCATCGCATTCTCGATCCCGTCGCATTCTCCCTTCAGCACACGATCCAGCGTAAAGCGCAGTGTAATCACAGAATCCTATGCGGACAAGGACGAGGAAGACTTCACAAGGCGCCATCTCGCTACAGATGGGTCCATGTACTTTCGGCAGCACCATGCCTACCCGCGCAGCTTCCTCTGGCGGGTGCTGGACAACAGGAAGATGCTCGAGATCCAGGCGACCGACTTCGATCACGACTACACCGACAAGTTCGAAGCAAACCTGACGCTCCTCTTCCAATTCCCCGCCCCAATCCGACCCTTCTGCGTCGCTTTCGCTGAGCCCACCGACCGCGATGCATTGACCGTCTTTGCAATCACCACGGGCAACGAGCTCTACACGATTACCCTGCACCGCGACTTCTTCGCCAACCCCGCAGCCTCAGAGCAGGACTCGGAGACGTGGTGCAAGAGGTTCGAGCCGGCGCTCTTCAGCGGGCGCATACCCTACCGATTGGCCGCCGCGAGCGCAGACGAACTGCTAGTCACACTCGACGACGGGGCCATCTGTCGCTTGATCTGGGACAAGGCCAACAACACCTGGGACGGATCACGGTACCAGCAGAGCAATTGGTCGGTGCGCGGTCTTCTCTCGTGGAAAGCGCAGCCCACGGTTCGCTTCGAGAACGCAGACTTTGCTGTATCAGCCGCGGCCGCCGTCGCGATATCACCAGACAGCAAGCACATCCTCTCAGTATGCCTGGACCACTCCATCAGAGCATGGAACATTGCGTCAGGCAAGCCAGGCGCGCACATCGACCTCCTGGGTGCCGACGACTTCGCGATGGAGAAGTCTCATGGCTCATACTCCATTGGGCCTTCGCAGTCAATGCTCATGGCTGTTGTGAACATCCCAGGCGGGGTAGGAGGCGCATTATACCACGTCGTTACATACTCGCCAAAGCAGCACCAGTTCAAGTTTTGGGGCGTGAGGGATGCAGATGACCAAGAACACGGATTTTACGACGCTGCGCCGGACTCAGACCTCATTCCGCCGATCGACGAACTTATGAACACGACTGTATGGACGCTGGAGGAGTTTCACATCATTCCAGGGGCTAACACCTGGAGGGGCTCAGAGATTTGGATACGCGCCAGGTCTGGACCGAGCAGCAAAGTCTACTCCCTCAAATTCGATCTCACCGACTACGCCGAACAACGAACACAAACGTGGAAGAGTGATTGGGTGTCTGTTGACTCGGGTCCTCTGACCGTCGAGGCACTGAAGGTCAATCCCGCGAATCCAAGCGAGCGGGAGTTGGAGCCAGAACAGGATCTCTCGAATGAGTGGTACGAGTTTCTGTTCTACCCAGGCCGATTCTCGATCGCGACATTAGAAACAGCGTTGCGCATATACAGGAAAGGCTTGGAGGGGATACGGCACCGGTCAAATCGAGTTCACAAAGGGTCACTGAAAGAACGTCTGGTTGCCACGCTTGTCGCCCTCGCCATTGAGCGCGGTCATGGCGAAGATTTCAGTAAAGACCTAACAGCGGAGTGGCAGGCATACTACGGCTTGGTGAAAGACTTGCACAAGCGGAGGGGAGAATCGTTGTCGCTCAGTTACGACCGGGCTACTGACAGGCCGTGGCTAGTGTTGAGCGACCACGTCTCTGCGATCAGGAACTGCAGCGAGTCGGAAGTCACTACACTGAATGCAGCAGTCATCTCAGGCTCGCGTACCCTGAGCAAACCTCTACGGCAAACTCTGGATACATCGGAATCTCGCGACGTGGCACGTCTGCTGAATGCCGCAGCTTCCTTCCGCCAACGACTACCATACTTCGTCCAGCAGAAGGTTCAACGTCACATGGAGATGGACCTACTTCAGAGCCGGAACATCACGATCTTAGATCGCATGGAATGGATCGAAGGCAACAGCGAGCTTTCTCAACATGTGACCGACGAGGACGTGACCACTCTTGTTGAAGAGCTCGGTATGGAAGTCAAGGACCTGGGTACGGAGACTTTCCTCCGCGCCATTAGGAAACTGGATTACGAGCATGACGGCAGGCCTCAGTCGAGAAAGCAGATCGCGCGGTACGGGCTGAATGCGTTGTCATGCGTTTCCAAGGAGACTCTGGAGAACGACCACAATGCTTTGCTTGATCTGCTTGTCCTGCTGCTGTTCATGTTCATTGAGCTAGAGGGCGAGACACATGACGAGTGGGATGCGTCTGAGGTGTTTGCTGAACTTCTACTGCGGTATAAGGACTGCATGGTCGTTTCTTGGCTGGCCCGTACAGTGTGGTCTCACCAGACTGGAACCGGCCTTGCATCGGACAATCTTAACCGCATGCTGAGCGAGACATACAAGACTGGTATGAAGTTACCCATCACCCAGACAGTCCTCGAGGGAATCTACGGAAGTCGTGCCTTTGAGGTGCCACTACCAAAAGACCCAAAGGCGGGTCTACTTACCCACTGGAGTCGCGGCTGGTTGTCATTCATCTTCGAAGAACACGACTTTGAAAACGCTGTAGAGGATATGATGGGAATACTCTTGTATCAGCAAGAGTACGAGCTCGCCAAGGATTTTTCCAAGTTTCTCACGGAAGGCCACTGGGCGTCGTATCTGAAGGGACGACTGTACCTTGCACTGGGCAACAAAGAGCTGGCTTCTGTGTGCTTCCAGAAGCCTGCATACTATCTGGGTAAGTCTTTGACATGCAATTCTGCCACGAAGATACTAATTTCTGCAGCTCTCGGTCCCATGTTTGACGTGGCGGAGGAAGACAAGGCAAACCTCATATCTGAGGTGGAGCGAAACTCGTTCTCCGAAGGCCTGGCGCACTATTACGGTCATGTAATTGGTCTGTTCGAAAAGGCCAAAGCGTACTCCTACGTTGCCGACTTTGCGAAGCTGGGGCTGCGATCTTTGATGGGTCAGGAAGACGTAGAACTGAAGACAGATCTGCTTCAACGGCTGTTCACCGCTTCGATACAAACATCAAGATTCCAGGATGCATATGGTGCGCTGATCAGGCATCGCGACACGGCCTTGTAAGTCGAAGAACAGCTTCCACACAACTTCGTATACTAACTACTTTCCAGGAAACTCTCCGACCTGCAGACGCTCATCACATCCATGGTAGCTCAATCGCAGACTACCGAGCTTCTCAAGTTCCCATTCGTCGGACTAACAGATTCGATGGACAACATCCTCACGTCCCTCTGCCAGAAAACACTCAACATCGCATCCGGACCGCCCTACCACCAGATCCTCTACTCATTCCGCATCTCCCGCAACAACTTCCGCGGCGCCGCATCGATTCTCCACGAGCGCCTCCAGCGCCTCAAGACAACATCAACCAAGATCCACGACCCAGCCGACGAGTCCCTCACACAGTGCTACCTCATGATCATCAACACACTCTCATCGGTCAGCAAAGAAGACGCCTACATCCTAGCCGAGCAGCGCATAGAAGCAACCGGAGGTCCGCCGCAATGGGGCATCGGCCAGGGAAAGAAGCTACTTAGACGGCAGATCATCACCCTGGATACCCTGAGGAAGGAGTATCAGGCTGAATTGGACAGGATCGCGGCGATTGAGAGTGGTCAGTTTCCTTTTGTGGATCCGGTGGATGATATGGATATCTTGTAGGGCTTGGTGTTATAGCGCGGCGTTCTTTGGGCGGCTTTGCGGGATTGAGAAATGGAAATGGATGGGGGGTTATGTAGATTTGCTATCTGGCTGGGTCCGTAATTGGATCGTGGAGTGGCTAGACGTTATTATGAGAATCCAGATCTTGAACAAATGATGGCTATGTTGATTGCAGTCTGTGTTTCGGCAGTGTTTGTCCTGTGATTGATGAACGAAGTGATCAGGTGAGAGTGAGATGCAATGACGCGCTAGAACGCGTGCAGATGCGGGACGTCGCGAACCTCCAGGTAGGTGCGTTGCAGCCGCTGGAAGACAGCAGCCATCAACCGCTCATCCAGACCCTCACGCCTCCAACCATGCCGCAATAACTTCTCTTCCTCATCCTAATTACCTCGACGACTACGAAAACCCTAAACAACCCCCGCAGCCATGGTACCACCCGCTCTCTTCCCCAGCCCGCGCGTCCCTCCGCTAACCCAAACACCCAGAACTCCAAATCCCTCCGCCGCCTCGCCGCAGACCACGGCTCCCTTCACACCGCCGGCCTCCCCCCAAACTATCTCTTCCCACCAGGCTCCGACGACTCGTCAGACCTCACTTCCCTCGACATCCTCCTCGCCGGTCCTGTCGGCACACCCTACGCAGGCGGTGTATGGCGCCTCCACCTCGACATCCCACCCACGTACCCCACCGCACCGCCCACAGCGCAGTTCCGAACACGACTATGGCACCCAAACATCGACGAGGCAACGGGTGCGGTTTGTGTCGAGACGCTGAAACGGGACTGGAGTAGTAGTCTCAAGTTGAGGGATGTCCTGGTAACGATATCTTGTTTGTTGATTCAGCCGAATCCGGCGAGTGCGCTGAATGAAGCAGCCGGGAAACTGGCCACGGAGGACTGGGAGGGGTATTGTAGGAGGGCGAGGCTTATGACGGATATCCATGCGAGTGTGCCGAGGGAGATTGAGGGGGAGGTTAGGGAGGCGCAGATGAGAGGGGAGGAGAAGACTACGGAACCAGACCAACCCATCGCGAAACCATATTCAAAAGGGAAGGAGACAGAGCGGGTTAAAGTTACGCCGTCAGGACCTAAACTCACGCGCATGAAGAGTGAGGATGAGGAGAATACGCGCAGCAGGAGGGGTGGGACTCAAGATGCAGAGAGTGGGACTGAGGAAGATGCGGTGACTGGGCGGAGGGATGGGATGAGGAGGAGCAAGGTGCCTGAGTCGAGGAGACAGGGTAATATCTTTGGGATTAAGGGCTTGGGCGATGGTATGCAGCTCGACTCCCCACCGCCGAAACGGATTTTCGCTGTGCCGGGTGCGCATACACCGCCTGTTTCTACTCCGAACGAGAACGGGAAAGAGAATGGAGAGGGGGATGGAGAGGATGCGGATCCGTTTACCACCGTCATGTCGAAACGGAATCCACACCCTGATCCTTCTACTGCGACAGGAACAGCAGCAGCAACACAACCCGACACCGAAACTCCCGACCTCCTCAAATTCTCAACACAAAACCCCTTCGCCGCCATCCAACCCAACAACCAAACTCACCCCCTCTTCAGAGAGTTCTCGTTTAGCTGGGAAGACGCTATGGTGGTGCATGACGCCGGTATTGGTAAGAGTGGCAGTGGTGGTGTTAGTGGGGTTAGTAAAGCAGATGTACGCAAGAGACACGCGACAGAAGAGTTTGAGAAGAAGGAAAGGTGGGAGATGAAGAGGTTTAAGAGGGCCGGGGGCGATTTGAAGAGGTTTAATCGGGGGGATTGGGGGGTTAGGATGGGCGTGGGGAGGTTGTAGGTGAATGAGGGGGGATGGTGAGGGGAGGGAAGGAGAGCAGTGTGGGTGATGGATGGGTGGAGAGGGGTGTAATGGTGGTTTGCATAGCGATATGGCGTTTTGGTTCATGATACACGATGGCAGTTCACGGCGGTTGCGGTTGTTGAGAAAGATGGCATGGTAGTAAGGTGGTAGTGCGTATACCCTATGAAATTCACTCCTACGATCAGCGAGGTAAACTTCGCGATTTCGGGTTCTTGAGTTTGGTGATGATCATCATCACCAACACCTCCGTCCCGAGTGACGCTCGGCAGTTCCTAGTTGCTTCACACGCTCACGACGGACTATGAGAACTGCCAGCACCCAAGGCCAGACATGACACCTTGGCCTTAGCTTTTTGACACATCATGAACCAGCTCTTTATTTTTGGTTGCAACATCCGTTTTGGTACACAAGAGAAGGAAGGAAAGAGAGAAAAGACCATGACAACATCGGCCAGGACTTTGTGTCCCACATGCTGTCTCTCATTGTTTTTAGATCATCATGTGTAATGCTGTTTGTTTCGATATCGCAACACAGCAACCGCACACACAGTCATATGCAGCCCGGAAAAAGCTTTTTCGACCTCATCGCCAGGTTTTCCTTGTTTTTGGAAAGCAGTGCTCGCATGTCAAGCGTCGCGCGCTGTTTCGAGTTTCGAGAGAAGAGGAAGGGAGGCGGAGACCGAACACATCGCTTTGATCTGATATGATTCTTGGGAAGGAGCAGACGTCTCCATGCGTACTGGTACGCCGTGTTTTTGGAGAAAGAGGAGGAAAGTGGTGAATAAAGAAGAAGGAAGATGGGAGGTTGGTGGAGGGTTTTATAGTAGAGCGACGACAAGGGCGCTCACACATGTCGCAGGGTTTTCTGACTTTTTGGTAGAATGTAGAGTTCTTGATGGTGTTTTGGTATTGCTAGTATGGCTCGCGGAGGAGGACGGAACACATGTATTCATGGATCTTTGGTTTTTGGAAGAGAGGCGAACTCTCCATGGGTCATATATCTCTACGATTTAAAGAAGAGGAAAAAGGTGGAGGATGTAGGAAGAGTAGTTCTGCGATGTCGGGAGGTTTTTATATGTAGAGACCGTGGTAGTAGCGTCCACATAGTACATGTCCCGGATCATTTCTGGTAGAGACAAGCTCGTCGCGGTGGCTGGACGAGGAGGACAGAACATGTGGCGATCAGGCGGATCTTTTGGAAAGAAGAAGTCTCCATAGCATTAGGTTTCCACTGTTTTGGGAAAAAGAGGAGGAAGTAGTCTGTTGAAGGAAGAGTACTCCAGTCGCGAGTAAAGGTTTTATAGTGGAACCACGCGGCGTCCGTTCTCATGGGTTATATATATCGTCTTTTCTTAGGCTCATGATTATTCTGGACGAGGAATACTGGTCATGCCAGTGTGGGGCGTCGGTTTTGGAGAGCACAGAAGCACTCATAGGTGGGTTACGATGTCAGTTTAAGAAGAGGAGGTGCAGTCTCCATGCGCATTCGACATGACACTTCTAAAAAAAAGAGGCGGAGTCCTGCTCTCATCGCAGGCCATACTGGAGATTTTGGAAGAAGAGGCACAGCCACCATGATTCGATATTGGATTTGATTTTGGAAAATAGAACAGAAGTGTGGATGTAAAGAAGAAGAGAGGAGCCGTCGCAGACAAAGCTTTTATAGATGGGCGACGCACGCGCAGCGCGCACACATCGTAGGTTACCGTTCTTTGTTTTGATATTGAGATAGCATATTTGTGGGAGAAAGACACCGTCATGTCTTGTCTTATAGAGGATTTTGAGAATGCAGCGGAGGAGAGGCGAACACATCGGTGCCTTGGTAGTAGATTTTGAGACGCAGATCCACTGCTCCATGCATGTCTCGTCTTTAGCTTTCGAGAAAGACGGATGAATGTTGGATGAAGAAGGAAGAGAGATACAACAGCCGGAAGATTCGTTTTGTAGACGGGTCAAGAAGACGCCTGCTCACATATTGTCTCTCTCAAGGTGTTTCCGTACGCGCATGCTGTTTTCCCGTCGTGCGACGGCGCTTTCATGCTTTGAGCCGCTCAATCTTTTGATAAGGACAGCAGAGAAGAGGCAGACACATAGTTGTAACTGGTGGGTCATTTTGAGACAGAAAGGTGACTGCTGCCATCCAATGTTTGCATATAGCTTTGAAAATGAAGAGTAAAATATTATTGTCAGACAGGACGCCTCTTTCATAATAGTCCAGTCTCTTGATCTTGAGATGACGGCACGCAAAGATGAAGACTTGCGCGTTTCGCTGCGACTGCTTGTCCTTTTTTTCGTGTTTGAATAACGGCATGGGCTTTGCTCGCGCATTTTCCGTAATAAAGTCGTTTTTCAGGCTTCCTGGAGGGTGAAGAGCAGGGGAGGACATGGATGCTTTCTCTGCCAGTTTTCAGAAGAACGAGCAGACTTCTCCATCAGATTTAGATACAGAAACTTTTGGAAAGTAGAGATAAAGCGAGAAGTATTTGGGGATAGAAGACAGTGCATAAAAGAGGTATTTATACGTCGGGCGACTAGGAAAATGATAACGCAGAGCTCGTGCCGGTCATGAGCTTGGGTATGCAACCTTTGAGCAGTGGATCGATGCTGAACAGCGGGCTCCCATAACATCAATCTTTTCGAGTTTCGGAAACGCGAAAGAAGAAGCCGATCATAGTATCTGCGGACAGTATTTTTCGTAGACGAGCGATCTTCTTCATCCACGTTCCAACGAATCTTTTGGATTTGCAGAATGCGATTTTGTATATGGGAGGGAAGAGTCCGCAATGCAGTAGATTTATATATCAAAGTCATGCAGACATGTGGCCTAGGAAGTTTGGAGGGTTGTGAGCGTGTGAAGAGCGCAGAAGGCCGGCCACTTCTTCTCATGTTTGTCTTGCGTTCGTTTTTAAGAAGCGGGAAGACTGCGAAGGCCCATCGATTGGAAAGGCGCAGTTTTTGAGAGAGCCGGCGAAAGCAGAGGCTCTCCATGCGACAGTTACATTGCGTTTTAGGTATTGTTGTTGAGAAAGTTTGTTGGTGAGGGAAGTCGCAACGAAGGGCGGATTTTATAGCCGGTTCGCAGGCTCACGTGCAATAGCGCATTGGGCGACCTCGGGAGACGCAATCATGTCATGCGTTCTCTTTGGATTTGCGTATGGGAAAGTTGATATGGCGCATGATTATATCGCTCCCATACAATCGATCAGACTGGCTTTGAAAATGGACTGGAAGGGAAGAACACATCGATCTCTTGACGGATGATATTGGTGGAACACTGGCCACAGGCCATGTACTTGTTTGTTTATCCGTTGAAACCTCGAATTCAGATGCTGGTTATGATGTTAGCGAGAAGGTCAGGCCGAAGTTACGCATTTTGTAGGAGTGATGCGGCTGGTCTGCGCCCACATTGGCGGTGTCGCAGTGAACCGGTCCAACTCGCGTCATGCGGAGAGATTCCGAAGTTGCCCGTGCATTGATGCACGCTCTGATATTGAAAGCCTGACATCATTAGCTCGACGTCTAAGCTACTCCCCACCGCTGCAAATCATCATATGTAGCTTCATAACCTCCTTGCTCCCCTTCAATGTCACTGTCCCAATACCCATCATCGCTGTCGTACCCCTCCTCTTCGCTGTCACCCTCTTCATCGTCGTCGTCGTCCTCTTCACTTTTTTCGTTTCCATCATCGCTGTCATCACCATCCCCATCCTCCTCACTACTCCATGGACACACCCCGGACTCTTCATCACTATCGAATAGGTCCAGCATTTCGATGCGAATCAGCTTGCCGAACGAACGATACTGCCACCGCTTTCTGAAATCGGGAAGACTGTAGGTGAATCCTCCTGAGTAATGACCCATCAATGAGTCTCGTATCATTCCCTTCTCTTTGTAGTGTTTCAAGGGATTCCATTCATCATGGACACCCATGTCCTCGGCTTTCTCCTACGACAGCGCATTAGCATTGGTTCTTCCGCAAGACATGGGCATGGATGATATAGAGTGATCTTGCTGCGTACCTGCTCCCATTCTTCCTTGCTGAGGTGAAAGAGATTCTGCATGGGAGTTTCGTGGGTCTTGCCATCCTCCTCACATTCACATCCCCTGTCGTTGTCGTAATCACCGGAATCTTCCTGCCATGTGATCACTACCTTGACTCCACGGTGTATCAAGTCATATACTGGCTTGCGAATGGCTTCTAGAGTATTTAGGAAAACGCGTTCGCAGTCCAGCATGTCTTTGAGTTCACTCTTCCTCTGTGGAGACTGGGTGTACTCGTAGCTTTCCATGTACAAGAGGATATGAACGGTCTGTGACATTGGAGAAACCCCCAAATAACGGGAGAAGTTCTCCTCGAGCGTCTGGTAGAGCTCAGTGAGGTCTGCTTTCTCTTTCGCCATATTCTGTGCTGGGTAGCTGTTAGCGGCCGTTGAACCAGAAAGGTCAAATGCAGATGTCTCACCACGCATATCCTCTAAGCTGATAGTCAAATGCAACATGGAAAAGCAATTGTATGGATAGACATTGAGGTCGAAGATGTCGTTTGTAAGCTGATCATGAAGTTCTCTTGTATTGCAACAAATATGTGTGAGACGATAGCAGACTGTTGCCGCTTCACGCGCGAGCCCCCTAGGTACGTACGGTGGGCTAAATATGCGTAGGCTTGGTTTGATATAGGCATCCTCGCCAGTCTCGCGAGCTCGTAATTGGACCGGATCTCGGTAGTCGTCGTCGATTAGGTACTCATATATAGAGCATCGCAACTTCTGAGGAAGTTTGGTCCAGATTGCTGTCGCTAGACTATAGCAAGCTTCCCGCTCACATCGTGCTTCCGCACGTGGGTCTACTGCACGGTTTTTCCTAGGACAGCGTGAATACCTAGGATATCGCAATCGCATGTAAATGGCAATACCTTGACGGTCTAGAGGACTCGCCCTTCTGTCGTGTGCGTTTAGGGGCACTGCGTTTGGGAGGTATTACCGCGTTGCAAAACGCGTTTTGCTTGTATGTTTCTTTGAGAGCACCTATGCGAGACGACCCTCTTTCCGGGCTCTCGAGTGAAAAGCCAACCAGCCCCTGCCACTGTTGCGGGGCACAGCAGGTCCGTGCAGGTTCGAGATCTGCAAGCAACGCACGCCAACATATCAAGGTCATCACAAACAGGGAAAATGCAACTACTCAAGTACTCCACGTTCTTCCTCGCGCGTCTTTGGACTAAAGCCCAGCATTACCAACCTTTTCTAGCTCCAACAATGTGAAATGTGCCGGAAGCATAGGTGAGAGTCTCAAAGTCTTCATAGCCCCATCTTCTCCTCAACTGAGGTAGCATTTGGGCAAATTCGTCCTTGTAGATGGTAGGGCCGTCTGCCAGCATGCTTTGCTCGATGAAGTTCTGGCGAGGGTTATAGTGTCCAAATTGCAGCATGTGCTCTTCCTTCTCCTTTCGCCTTAGTTAGCCTTATTTCCTGTTCATTATGTGCACACTGACCTTCTCCCAATCTTCTTTAGTGAGGTGGAATAGTCCTCGTATCCTCCTGTCTTTTGGTGGCCGACGGACATTCATCAGGCATAAGATTGTAATCGAAGAGCCGGAGTATTTCAGATCGTAGAGAGATTTCCTCATCGCCTCCAACACATTAAGAAGGCTGCGCTCCACATTCAGAAACCCGATGCGGTATGGATCTCCATCGGCTGGCTCCATGTCTCTCTCATCCGGTTCCCCTCCCCAATACCATTCATCTTCGCTGGGCATGATCTGAACAGTGACGTCAAGTTTAGATTTCTCCACAATCAGCGAGAGCCCGGATTCTAGGTCATTGTGTAGCTTCTCGAGATCCGATAGTTCATCGCGGGAGGGCTCCTCGGGGTTGATCGACATGGGCGGGCATATGTCAGTGAGATCGATACGGATGAACAAGTGCCGAATAAACTTGTACGGCAATATACCCAGGCCGAACAAGTCCTCCACTAGTTGGGGCATGAGATACTGTAATCCCGGAAGCTTGGTAGGGTGGTCTCCATACGAATGGTAGGATTGAGTGCCGGCATCGAAGACGTTGGTAGCATAGTAGCGTTCCGCGGCTTCGCATGCAACCTCGTAGCCCACATAAGATGGGCAAAATACTTTATAGGGTTCCTTGACATATTGCTCATCAGATGCCGTGCTAAGACCTTCCAGACCTTGTCTGAACCAGAATGTGTCCTCCTCAGCAACAAGGTACTGATACACTTCATCGCGTAACTCTCGGGGCAGTTTAACGTGTAATTTGGACGCAATTTCACGGACTTGCTCTCGATCGCGCCTTGCCACTATCTTTTGTTGTTCCCTATGACAACGTTAATCAGGTATGATTCAGCCTTTTGGAGTGCAGGCGACCGTACTTGGATGGTCTATCGCGGCTGTATGGCTTGTCGATGTACCGCACCCAAGGCATCCTCCAACACTCAATTTCTTCCGGATTCAACGGATCCGAATTTTCCTTCGTGAGATCCCATGAGTACTCTGAGTTCCAATCTAAATCCATATCCGAATGTTCGTCTCAGTATTCCGGCTCTGGCTCGGAATGCCGCTGATAAGGGCGTAAACAGCCCGAGGATTGTCAAACGTCAGCTGGATCGACGCGATGCAAGAACTTCAGACTACATAGGTAATATGTATACTGGAGTGGCTGCGCTTCTCCATCGCCGTCCGTACCTGCGAGGATGGGTAGCGGGGCATTGATGATACCAAAATAGCTTCTAGATATTTAGGCATGTCGAGCTGTCCATTGCTTCCTCCAATGATCGTTTGACGCGTCCACGCATGGCCCCCTTCATCCCGAGGTCCCGAGGTCGGCACGGACCATGCGTCCAGGCCGCTCACCTCCGTTCATCGCGAGGCGTACTCTGACAGACCTGTTTTCAAGCAGGAAAAGCGAAAGACAGTGCAGCGATGTTTCCAAAGCTCGACCCTGCCGATGTTGCGCGTCGGAGCCATGGGGCCACGGAGCCACCCAGGTATTCTCATCCCTGCGTTGCCGTTGTTGCCACCTTCCGCAAAGTTCACGCCTGCGCAGGAAGAAACACTACAAGAAGCGGCAATCCAGCCCCGAACGCGAGCGACAAGCTTGCCGCTGCCTAGCCACCGCAATACATACTAAGCTGCCTCGCGAACTGCGAGATGTCGTATACAAACATGCAATTGAGGAGCCCAAGCTGTTTTACGTGCATGAATTGCCGCAAGACAAAATCGCCGACGTCGAATCGGTACGACGCATATACAGTCAATCCTACGTTGGTCTGGAAGTCGCACGCGAGACAGCAGAGTACTACTACTCTAGAGAGCACATCATTGCCAATTTTCAAAATTTGAGAGAGACGCTTACCCGAGACGTCTTCCACCTGGGCGTGAAACCCTACATGCACATCCAGACACTACATGTTCGCATCAGAATTGACGAGATCAGCGGCAGCCTTGTACGTCGCGGAGGGACAGACAAGAACGGCCGACTCAAGGAGTCGCAATCTGTGAAAGAAGCTGTTGTGCAGGAGAAAATCAACCTCAACAATCTCTACCAGAAGCTCGAAGCAGGCTTTTCTCTCTTCAAAGGGACGAGAGAGCCTTCGTTCTTAAAACTCGTCGTCAATCTCAAAATGGATAAATACCCTCCTTGTTGGGATCGAGTCTATCAACGAGACATAACTGTCATGCGGGACCACGAACGCAGGTTCATGAATGCACTTGAAACAATACGGAAGCCGGTGTACGATATGATACACACGGGCTGCACTGTTGAAGTCAAGTTCGCCCCAGAATATTACAACGGCCAAGAGCGCGACGACGGGCGTTGCGACGACGACAGTGAGAGTGAGACCTTCCACTACCGGGCAAGGGAAAGTGACAAGGGCAGCGAAAAAAGCGACGAGGACTGCCACTGCAACACCCAGCACTCCCACTAACAAACCCCCTCCCCCTCCAGGTAAAAGCTACACACAACTACCTCCACGGCCGCTACAACCCTAAAGCACACTACAAATCGCATGTCCCCCTCCGCTACACCCGCATCAACAAACACTACCAAATGGACTTCGCCAGAAACCTACCGCATTACCGAGCCAGATGGGGCTACACCTCATACGAGAAGCTGTTGCGTGTTGGACAATATATGGATGGGAACTTATCAGACGATGAGGAGGCTGTGAGTGAGGCATCGGGCGGGTATCCGATGCCGATGTATACGAATAGTAGTCGGTATAGTGATAGTGAACGCCCCGATGGGTGGGTTCGTATGTCTCAGGAGGAGAAGGAAGAAAGGGACGAGGGCTTTTGGTGTCGTGTTAGCGACGAAGATGAAGACGGAAACTATGAGCCACCTGCGATGAGATTTTGGCGCGAATATGATGAGGGGAGGTATCGCTAGCCGATCTTGCGTTCTAGGCACCTGGCATCTACGCTGCACTTTAAGTAAGGAAAAGACTAAACGCTCTAGAGCTTCCGTTGACGTTAGATTATCTGCTTTGCATGTTACTATGTTAATACAGGCTGTAGAACTGTTCAAGATTTTCCTTGTATGAAGTGGCTGGGTTGTTTAGGCCACTACCTGTTCGTCTACCCACCGCTTCCCTATCATGCTTACTTCAATGTGGTACCGATTTACATCTTGTCATTAATATCTGCTCGTCGACGATCGGTAGAGTAGACGCTACAGCTGAGCGCCCCACGAAGCTGGTCTGACTATACTTTCCCTAAAGCCCACCGAAGACATCAAACAATCTCATAGCAAGGTCTACGACAACCAAGAACGTCTCATCACATAGCCACGAAAAGCAAAGTAGTATCACCTCGCAACCAATCGATTAAACGGACCAAATCCAAGCCCGTTGAGGGACTACCTAGGGATCAAACACGCTCAAATCTATGAAATCCAACGCTAGCCACCCATTGTTGAAAGTGCGTCCCCGCAGCTCACACTACTCCATTCGCGGCAGTCTTGCTCTCAGCGCCATTCTGCAAGACCTCATTCGCCTGCTTGATCGTAGGCACCAATTCGGACGGAACGACGAGCGACGCGCCGTTGACAACGCCGTTAGTGGAGTCTTGGTGCGGTGCTTGGAGTCCTTGGCGGACCTTCAGCACGCTGTCTACGATGACGGCGTCGATGCCTTCGTTTCGTTGGAGCTGTGTTGTTGTTAGCAAATGTTGCCTAAAGTGAAAGCCTATGAGGGAGTGACTTACGAGGACGTTCTTAGGATCGTTATTCAGTATACCATACGAGACGCACACCAAACCACTTTCCTTTACCACCTTGACAAGTCTCGGACACATGACCAAGGGCTCAGCAGCGGTGACGACTCCCAGAAGATTCCAACGGCTAGCAAAGCGGATGCCTTCCTGTAGACTGGCCGCTCGCACATCGCCCACGGGCAAAGTTCCCGCATCGGTCAGGAAGAGTACCGGGATTGAGGGCTGCTTGAAGGATAGCATCAGGCAGACATCGGGGTTAAAAGATGAGAAGATAATGTTCCGTTGGCCCATCCTGTCATACACCTTCTGCAGCACTGTATCGACGAACTGGTTCAGCTCAACAGCGTACTGGTCCATCTCCTCATCCTCTGTCTCGTAAAGCATAGGGTACTTGAACTCGACATTGAAACCGACTGATTCAGGCAACTCATCGAACATGCGGTCGAGAGTTGTGAATGAGGACTGGATGGATGTGCCACGGTTGTTGCCCTTGAAGCCCTTTTTCATAAAGTCGCGGGTGTACTTCATTCGTTCCGCGAGCTCGTTCTGACGATCAGTGTGAATGTTGCGCTGTTTCGAATTATCGACTGAGTATGATCGGAGTCTCCGGGTGTTGGGCTTGTCGTCTGTGCCATTTGCACCGTTGAGGACAGGCACAGTTTCTGGTGATCCAGCGCGAGAGGATCGTGGCTTCTGGCCCTCGCCGATGTGCAGGAATTGGTCCAATGTAAGCGTGTGTACGGGGGCATCAATACCAGTTTCGCTAACCAAGAAGTCGTGATAGATGACGGGCACATGGTCTTTGGTTAGCTGAACGTCGAACTCCACGTACTCGGCACCCAAGTTGGCAGCGGAAATGAAGGATTGAATCGTGTTCTCGCCGAGTTGTAGCGACGTACGTGAGGCGGTGTTCTTTCCTAGACCGCGGTGGCCGATGACCATGGTCGATGCAGCCATTTTCTTCCAGTAGGTATGCTGTTCTGTGATCGACATGCTCGGGTGGTGGAAGGGCGTAATGATCAAGAAGTTGAAGTTAACTGTGCCAATTACGTCCAGTGTCGAGGCAGCCACGATTGGTACCTTCATGTCTCCCTGGAGCGAGATGCGCTTAGATCCAATACTGGTCTTGATGGTCGACAGCAAGGCCACAGCTCGTCCCACTACACGCTCTTGAGAACCCGCATATGTTGGGATAATGTCGAAAAGTAGCTTGACTTTAGTGGCATCGCTGGTCATGAAGGTGATTGGCTCAGTCGCAATGTTTTCCTGGATGGGCAAGTCAATGACCGAGGGTTCTCCGTTTGCGCCAGACGCATTAACAACCACAGACAGAGCGGTATCGAGTTGCGTCGCGTGTGCATCGGCAAGAGGGATATCGTCCAATTTCACGGCGGGCACATCTTTCCTGGCGTCCATTGAACCAAGGCTGACAAGAATCATTGTCTCTTTGGTCAAGTAACGATGGCCAAATGTCTTCACGGGTTCGGGCGCCTTTTGAACAGGCGTATTGGTGTCCCGATTTAGATTCTTAGACCTTCGCTCGTCAAGGGAGGATTGTGTAGGCGAGCCAGCTCGAGCAATACGCGTATCCTTAGGCGCGACAAGAGGCGGCTCTGTCGCAGGAGCAAGTTCCCCTAGTCTGATCGCTACCGCAATGTGACCACGGAGCGTGGCGTGCTCCTTTGCTGTCCAGCCAGAGTTGTCGCACCTCTGGAGATCAGCTCCGGCCGCAGCAAGAATCTCCACCATGGAGAGATGGTCGTCGACAGCAGCAATAAACAGTGGCGTCCAAGCGAATGTCTTCTCGGCGACATCGACCTCCGCCTTATTCACACTGGATCCTCCCAAAAGGACCTTGGCGCACTCGTCGTAACCGTAGCGTGCCGCCATGTGTAATGCGGTCTCACCGCCCTCATCCCGGTAGTTCACGTCCACACCCGCTTCGACCAAGAGCTTGACAATGTCTACGAAGTTGGACCGGGTTGCTAGGGTCAAGGCTGCCCCTGATCTCGCGATGGTTTTACGAGATGTAAGGCGTTCTTCTGTGGTACCGCGCCAGTTTTCCGCATCGAGGAGGGCTTTTGTGGTGAGCGGATGTCCGCCCATTACGCTGAGATGCAAAGGAGCGTTACCCTCAGCATCCTGCCAGTAAGCGGAGTCGATTCCCTGAGCGACGTCGAATTGGCCCCAGTCTTGCATGTGCTTCATAACGACCTGGCAAATGACGACAAATCCATATTGCGCAGCATAATGGAGCGGGAATCTGCCATAGGAGTCGCGAGATTGGAGCGCGTTGCGTTGCTCAGCCTGGAGCTGATCGAGGAGGTAGATGAGTAACCGTACCGATTCATCGTTCTCGCTGAGTAATTGCGTTGACTCTTCTTCGGTGGTGGTGCAAGGGCGAGGTTGGCGATTGGGATCCGTCGCAGGCACAATGAAGTTGCGCGTCTCGCTAGAGCTCTGGAGAAGGGTTCCATCAGCACCAAACGTGTCGCCAGTCTTCGATCGGCCGATATTGATGACAAGTCGGTGGATGCAATTGCGCTTGTTGATGTCGTCTTCCTCATCTAGTGAGATAATGTCCTTGAGTAATCTCTCGATACACGACTTTGCCCGGCATGAGATGGCGCGTTGCAGGAAGTTCAGGAGTACTTGCTGGAATGAAGCACTCGAAATGCCATTGCTCGCAGCAGCTTCTGTGAGTTTCTGGTTGAGATCTTCGACCTTGTCGCCCCGAATAGCCGTATCCACAGCGTCGAGCAGGCCCGCGGGAAGGTGTAACGAGCGACCTGGAACTCTGCCCAGAGAGGCCGCCGAATGGGAGGAGCCCGTGTCATCGAACGTCTTGATGTCGCTCAACCCTGATAGCCACTCGTTGACTGCCTTCATATCCTGATTTAGAGGCAGGTTATGCGCAAAAGGCTTTGGGTTGACCTTCGACGCCAAGTAGCGCTCCTGCAGACAAACTGTCTCAATCTTCTTGTCCAGCTTCTTTGTGATCTTGATGAAGCCTCTACGATTCACCTCTCCATACCATTGAAGCTTCCGCATTGAACCGCGCAGCTCGAGCAGCGCACCCATGAGATCCTGCGCTTCATCCTTGTCGATGCCGTCGGGCAATTGTGCGACTCGTCCGTAGCGGCCATGTAGGAGCCTCAATCGCCGTGCGTTTTCGGCGTATTTGCGGTTGTAGAAGTTGTCGACGTCTTCGAGATTGCGATCGAGCGAGAAGAAGAACTCTGGGGTGAATGTTAGCCACGTATTCAGCGACTTGAAGTTCAATAGTCGCAATAGGCTTGACGCGCTCGTGACGACTCCAAGATGTCCACAACAGCTTGGTGAAGCATAGCCATGGAGTATTTGGTATGAGTCTTGGCAGAGTTGATGTCTACTTACCAGCAAGATCTGGAGCCGAGCCATCTTTCGAAGCTTCAGCAGCGTTCTTGATGAGCTTCTTGAGGCCCTTGTAGTTGATATAAGACGCCGCCCATTCCGGGACCTGGTTCCTTGGTAGGTTGTGTCCGAACTTCATCCTGAGGGTGAAGCAACAATCGGTGGACAACTGGATCCGGGTAGAGCTTGATATTGAGCTTGAGGGTAGCTCGAAATCGTATGTAGGACTAGCTCTAGGCAACGGGGGCGGAAAAAGGAACGAGATGTAGGCAGTGGTAGGTATTGAATGATCGACAGGGCAAGAGCCAGAGTGCCAATTCCA